AGTGAAAGGCCAAATGTCCAGTAGCCGGGTCACCCACCAGTTTACCAAGCTTTGACCTCCCAGCCCTTAGGTCTTTTCACCTCAGCCATGCCAGGACGCTAGAGCTGAGATGTGGGAATAATGGAGAAAAGAAATGTGGAGTAAACAGAAAGATGCAATAGGCCTCTATTTTGTGCAGCAATCTAGCGCACCTGTGCATTTTTCTAGTACGTCGTATTTCATTCTGTAGTGCACGCACGTCACGCATTTGCGTGCTTGAACTTGGGCGGATATTTTCCTCCGCACTTTACGAGCACTCTTTCCTTCTCGTCGGCCTTGCTCGCTCCTGTCCGTCTGCCGGTGCCTCCCGAGTCCGTTCTCAAATGGTGGCGTCTCTTAACTTCAGGGTAGAAGACCTGTCATCATTCTCAGCTTGCTACAGCTGGTGGTGCAGGCCTCACCCTGGGGGGGCGGAGGAGCCGTGCACACAGTGTTTCTTTGGCACCCAGGGAAGGGTTACCAGTGGGGAGTGGCCTTTACAGAGAAGGGGGCCAGGGGCCACCTGTGCCCCCTGTGGTGACTTGCAGGAGGTGCAGACCTCACCAGAGCTTCCCAGGAAGAATGGCCAGGCTTTCTGCGACAGTTTGCCAGATACTGCTTTAAACCATTTACACAAATTCAACCTTTTAATTGCTGGTCATCCTGAGGTGGACACTATTTACTATCCCAAACATGAGGTGAGGAAAAGGGAGACATCAGACGGTGAAGTAACTTGCTGGGCGAGGAGGTATAGGGCATGGAGGAGGTAGGATTCAAATCCCATGCCTAGCCAGAATCCTTCGCTAGCCACTGTTCTGCACTGCCTCACTATGCCAGAGCTTGGGAGATGGGGGGTGGAATTGTTAGGGTTAGTTTGGCACCTTAATCCCCAGACATAATGCTCTAAGAATACCAAGCACCCCCTGCTCCACACACCCATTGAAGCAAGTAGTGAAAATGGGGCTAATAGAAGCCATGGGGTCATGAAAGGCTTTCATGGCCATGGGCACCTGGCATGCCGTTGGTGCTTAATAAATGCCTGTTGCATGAGAGATGGCGGTAATAATCACTAGCCCTTCTGGCTTTCAGTAGACTGGCAAATGCACGGAATTACATGGAACCTGTGAAGTGACAGAAGCCCAGAGGAATAGCACTGACCTAGTGTGGTAAAGTCAGAGAAGACTTCCTGGAGGAGGTGACATAAGGCTGAGTACCAAAGAATAGCAGATGGGGCTTACCTGGGGAGAAGGGGGCCACGGGGTGAATTCTGAGAGGCTCCATGAACTTGGAAAGGAGAGTAGCTCCGGCTCTGGCATCACTAATGGCACAGAGAGGGTTATGATCCCCTCAAGGCAGCGTGAGTGTCCAGGTAAGAGGGGGACCGCCAGCTGTATTCCGGCTGGAGCAAGGGGAGGCTGGTGCCAGGTGAGGTTCAACAGGTAGGAGGGCGGGTGTCGGCAGCCTGGTAAGTTACCCCATGGAACCGCAGGGCGGTCACACTCAAAGGTCTGGGCAGGTGTCTGTCTCGTGGGCCTGGGTCACACAATCTGGAGGCAAGAAGCAGAGGAGCTGTGGGGCTTGCAAGGCAGGGGAGGCTGGAGATCGCAGGCTCGCTGGGGAGGTGGAGGGTTTTGTGCTTTGATATGTTGAATCTCAGTTATTCAAGTTTCCTCAAAGAAACCCAATTCAATCCAGCTTAAGCAAGAAAGAATTTATGGGCTCATTTATAGCAAATCCTGCGAGGCCCAGCTGGACGTCAGCACACAGCAGTTTCGAGGTCTCTGCCTCTGTCTCTCTGTCCATGTCTCCCAGGCGCCCTTGAACAGTAGATGTCCCCGCCACCCCAGAGCAGGTTTGTTCTCCATGGCAGAAACTGGTCATTTGTGACCTGAACTTTATATTTAACCTTTTAAGCTCCAAAAGGAAGTGAAACTTTGCATGGAATCTTAAGGAAACTCTAGTTGGTCCTGCTCGGACCATGTGTCTGTCTCGGTCCCAAGGGCCCAGCTCTCTGCTCGAGTCAGCCAGGACGTGTGGGTGTGGACAGTCCGGATGGCAGGGGACCCATGGGGAGGTCAGGAGGGGAAGGAGATGCTTGGGGGGACACAGATGACACACCCACAGCGACAAGCTGGTAGGACACCAGCTGGCTGGGACGGTTCTAGTGCCCCACCGAACACAGGACGACACTCAGCACAGAGGGTCAGTGGACGAGACTTCGGTCACCTCCTGTCACACCTCTGGGGTCACGTCAATCTCCAGCTTCTGAAACGAACTCTCACCTTCTCCCTCCAAAGACCCAGCTCGTGGTGATGGTTTGCTCTTTGGCATCTTTAAGACGGTAGATGGAGCTGGCAATGCCAGCCGCGGGTCTCGGGGGACCTATTGTAATTAAAAAGCCCAGTCGCTGGCAGCAAGGGGTAGGTGTCTTTTTTTAAAAGGTGACTCTTGAGTTCTGCCTTACAGACTGACGACACTGGTCCTCTAGGTCAGTTTTAATTATACAGCTCCCCGAACATGTCATTCAGATCCTCTTTTAGCTGTGCCGGTAACCCGGGGCAGTTTCTAGACACCAAGGAAGTAAGAAGGCTCCAGGCTAATTAAGTAGCTGGAAGGCAGAGGGGCAGCCCCTCTTAGGTGTGCTCCCCAGAGGTGACATCACCAAGCGACTCCCCCTGGCCTGTGGATTCCCAGCCTGTCTACCTACTGGCTGTGAGGCCTCCCGCCAGCCATATGGTCCCTGGTGCCTCAGTTTCCCCAGCTGCAGAACGGGAATATGGTTCCACTCCCAGGGCCAGTGGGGAAACCCGGGTGAAACTCCCCATCTGTGGCTCTCTTGTCTGACCCCCGCGGTGCAGACTTCACCATGGTGCCTCCCACTCTCCTTTATGGCGTGACAAGGAGGAGGCAGGGAGAATGTGCAGATTTCAGTCCTGTCTCCAGAGGCAGCTAGACCTGGATTAAGTGGGCCTGCCCATTGCACTCACATATGTGACTTCAGCCCTGCCTCAGTGGGTGGGATGCCACGATCTCGCTCCCAACAGATGGGGGGCCCGGCCACATTCACCCCTTGGCACAGTGCCTGCCACTGGGGAGGGACTCAGGACATGCAGCTATTGCTGTTTTCATTGTCAAAATACAGGCACACCGCAGAGACAAGTCACCAGCATCAAAGTTGCTGGACTAGGGGCTTTATTTACCAAGAACAGTTTCCCTTCTTTGCTCATGGCCAAGACTGAAGAGAGCGCACCAGCCACATCGCACACCCAGACCATCTTTCTCAAGCTTGAGTGTGCAGGGCAGAGCATGGGGTGCTAGTTAGTGAAAGTGCCTGTTTTCAGGGTCCTCACCCACAGACCCTGATGCAGTCGCTTTAGGAGCAGGGTCCTGGGCATCTCCACTTCCTAACCAACCTCTCTGGAGAGGCTGATCCCGGTGGGCCCAAGTCTGACCTTGACCGTGGCAATCTAGGCCATCATCTTTGTGATGTCCACACACTTCCCACCCAGGAAGATGATCCCCACCAGCCCTGCTGCCCCAGGGGTGGCTCCGCTGGCTAGAAAGGGTGAGGAGGGGTGGTGCCGAGGCAGGGGTGGGCCTGGCAGGACCTGCGGCCACCGCAGGTGTCTGACTCACCGGTGACGCCCGATTGCCAGCTGGTCCCTGCGCCCCAGCGGCCAGTTCCTCTGCTTGCCTGCTGCCTGCTGGCATCGCTCCTACGGATCTGGCTCAGAGGAGGGAGTCAGGCGGCCCAGCCTGAGCAACCCCCTGGCGCCCCCGTCCCATCTTACCGCCCGTGCCTGCACTGGCTGAAGAAGTCCCCCCACATGTGTGCATGTCTGAGGCTGGCCCCGCAGCCGGCCAACCCTCTCCGCCCACGATTCACAAAAGGGTAGCTAATTATTTAGTCTTCGAGAAGGAAACTCCGAGGGCGATTTAATGATGGGCTGCAAAACTATGAAGAGTTATTAGCAGGGCG